GCCATTTGGATGTGAAATCTGTATCTGCAGTGGGATTTTCAAACCCGAACCAGTCCAAGATTTTGCTAATGTTAATTGTATCTGGGGCCATTTCTTATCACCCACTTCAGTATGATACAGCAACTTTACCTTCAAATATTAACTAGAATATAAAGAACTATTAACAAGCAGCTAAAAACATTCAACTCAAATAAATCAAAGCTTGTGAAAAACTAAATGCTGCTTCACCGTGTTTAGTTTGGACTCTAGGTGCTAAAAGCTGACCTGCAGCCCCTGCATCTAGAACTAGATTTATATTCTTTAAGCATATCAGATATGTATTCTGTACCCAGACCATTTTCTATTTCATTGCTTAACATGTTGAAATGAATTCTGTTACTAACTGGATGCCAGAGTAATAGAACTGGAATAATCTGCTCTGTTCTCCTGGTTTTGGTTAGAATGATATCAGCAGCATTTCAAATGAGTTACAGCTGTTTAATGCTCTTTTTAGGAAGTTTAGTTAGGAGACTGCAGCATAATTTGACCCTGCTAGTAACCGTAGATTAGTTTGTCAAGAACTTGTAGGGTCAGTAAACCATTGATTCTGGTGACTTTTTTTAAAATGCTGTTTTAGAAAATGCTTTAATATGGCTCATAAAGGTCAGATCTACGGTTATGTCTGTTAGAGCACCAAGATTTAAGATTTGAGCTTTCAGATACTCTAATGATGTTCTCTCATTGAGCTGACAAACTGTAAAGAAGTTGCAGATTTCTTAACAGACAGTGATGTAGCTGATCAGGATGCTGTCTGTGTACACCCTGTAGAAAATAATGAAGAAGGAAAGGGTGGGTTTTTGCCAGGCATTCTGGCTAGGTGAAGTTGAGACTATGCATGAGCTTCTCAGCAACGTGCACAAAGAGCAACATATGGAGGTCTTTACTGTACTCACAATGGTGCTCTTGATGTGGAGTGGAGAATGATCACCACAAATCCTCCTGAAATCAACAACCATTTGGTTTTGGTGTATCACATTTCTCTCTCACTACAACTTTACTCTTTATTACTCTTTAGTAGAGATGAGGAAAGACCAAACTCTCCTGAACCCAGCTGTGTGTCCTTTAAGAGTGACCAGTCCATGCCACTTTTTGTCAACTTTCAAGATGGAACAGCTACTCCATACAGGTATTCACTTCTCTTTCTGTTGCTCATTATAAATCCCATCGTCAGAGGTACATCTTTAGAGGTAGATCTCCAGACTAGAGTTACTAAAGTTTTATATTTAGTCTGTAATTATTGCAAGACAAATACAGACAGAAAATGCACACAGGTATATATACAGCATATTGTAAAATGTATGTTAAAAAGGACATAATGACTGTGATCATCGGAAACAAACAAACAAAAAAAAGCGCAATCGACTTGCAATAATCACAGTAAAGTAGAATCATTAAAACATCTTTTGGTGAGTAGGGGAATGAATCCATGTGTGCAGATGTGACAGATTGGAGCCATTAGCATCTATATCTTTTGTAAACTGATTTTTTATTTTATTGGTATTTATTTCTCTTCCCTTCATCTTGAGACGCATCTTTAGAAGCAGTTTCTCAGAATGGAATTTTTAACCTCATTCTAAAGTGATTTGAAAATGAACCTGCAATAGACCATAACTTATTGGTATTAACATTGGTGTATTGCTCATTTGGTTTGTAGGACACATAATTTTCTAATTCTCACCCAGTTTCTGTTTTGGTGGCCAGAACTGAGCTCTTCTACACTGAACTGGTTGGAACAGCAGGGGGTGCCATTTGGATGTGAAATCTGTATCTGCAGTGGGATTTTCAAANTACTAAAGTTTTATATTTAGTCTGTAATTATTGCAAGACAAATACAGACAGAAAATGCACACAGGTATATATACAGCATATTGTAAAATGTATGTTAAAAAGGACATAATGACTGTGATCATCGGAAACAAACAAACAAAAAAAAGCGCAATCGACTTGCAATAATCACAGTAAAGTAGAATCATTAAAACATCTTTTGGTGAGTAGGGGAATGAATCCATGTGTGCAGATGTGACAGATTGGAGCCATTAGCATCTATATCTTTTGTAAACTGATTTTTTATTTTATTGGTATTTATTTCTCTTCCCTTAATCTTGAGACGCATCTTTAGAAGCAGTTTCTCAGAATGGAATTTTTAACCTCATTCTAAAGTGATTTGAAAATGAACCTACAATAGACCATAACTTATTGGTATTAACATTGATGTATTGCTCATTTGGTTTGTAGGACACATAATTTTATAATTCTCACCCAGTTTCTGTTTTGGTGGCCAGAACTGAGCTCTTCTACACTGAACTGGTTGGAACAGCAGGGGGTGCCATTTGGATGTGAAATCTGTATCTGCAGTGGGATTTTCAAAACCGAACCAGTCCAAGATTTTGCTAATGTTAATTGTTCCTGGGGCCATTTCTTATCACCTACTTCAGTATGATACAGCAAATTAAAAATGGAGCTTTTTAATAAGCCTACTTAAACAGACAGAACAGGGCCGAGGCCACTAACTTAACACCTCGCTAACCAGATGGTGAACACATGAACATGCCCCCTACTCCATCGACCGCCATGTTAAGACGGCACAAAGCATGCTGGAACCAAATCAAAACCCGCCCACGTTACCTTGCCGCCACCTGAGCCCTGACTGTCCCCAGTCAGCCAGAACCTGATTACAGTCTCTGAAACGGGGCGGGGGTTGACACTGCGACCGTCTGAGCCCTGCGGTAGGAGGCAAGGAAACACTTACCCCGATCGGGGGATCTTCCGCTACAGCCGAGTCACCTGGGTTTCCGGCGTGCGGCTGGTAGGGTGCGATTTGATCTCGGTGCAGAACTACAGTACCACTCGCGCCCGCCCTGCCAACCACACCCGGTATGCAACGTCCGATAATCGTCCGAGCACCGTGCATGGTCCCACCCATTGTGACATAAGTTTAGGCGAAAGCTCCCTCTTCCTCCCAGGGGAATAAACCCAAACTTGCTCCCCAACACAAAAGTCTCGTCCCC